CCCTAAACAATCTTCTCCTGGTAATTACAGCTTGAGGGGCAGATCTTCATCTGGTGAGAGCCAGTGGAGCTCAGTGAGACTGCCTGGCCTGGCAGCAGGGCAGGACCTGCCCCAGCCATGGCCCTTCCACGGGGTGAGCTCAGCAGATGAACTCGGCCCCAGGGTGACTTGGGAGCAATACTGAGCCATTTTGGATCTTGGTGAGGTTTGGTCTGGAGGAACAATCCAGGGCTGATTCCTGATCAACATCCCTGGGATCGTTTGTGGTTCAGAAATCAGATGGGAGCACAGCACAGGAGGCACAGGTGGCTTCTCTGGCTCCCTGCCCTGAGACAGGCAGAGATCAAGGGATCAGCTCTGCTGCTGGGGACGTTTTGGGTACCCACAGAGTCTCTCTGGGGCACCTGCTGGAGGCCAGAGATGGGGTCCAGGGCTTGGGGTGGTGCTGGGGCTGGTGCAGTCGGGAAGATTCCGATGCACCAGGCAGACCCTGGGCAGTGCCAGACCCCAGTCCCAGCAGCCCCATGGAATTCCTGACTGTGCCATGACAGAGCTCCCAGGGTTGGTGATTGTTCTCTGCTGGATCTGCCCTTGTGTTGTGCCATGGCTTTAATTGATGACTTAATTGATTAACTGTGGTTGAGCCCCTCAGACTGGGGAAGGTGAAAAGCACATTGCTTTCAATGTGCTGCATCTGATCCAGCCATTCTTCTTCTCTGTAGGATCCTGGTGAACATGGACAACAACATCATACAGCACTACAGCAACCACATGGCCTTTCTGCTGGACATGGTAGAGGCAGAGAACAAGTTCCAGATCATCCTCAAAGAGCTCTAAAGAGCTGCAGGCAGCACTTCCTGGGACTTCTCTCCGAGCTGGCACGTGTGACCCCACAGAACTCAGCCCTGTGCCTGCTCTTGTTGCCTTGACTTGAACCCCCACGGCCCCGGGGCTGGGCCAGACTGCTGTGAGATCATCCTGTGAACGTGGATCTGTTGAGTTTATTATTATTATTATTATTATTATTTTTATTATATTTTATTCCCTTCTGGCACCGGGCCTGAGCTGCCGTTTCAGGGCTGGGCACACGAAGTGACACTGCCAGGCCTGGCAGAGAGCAGAGCTGGTGGCCTTGGCCTTGGCCTCTCCACAGACCCTGCAGAGCTTCCCCAGCAGGGCTGAGCCCAGCTCTGAGCTCCTCTCTGGCACAGAGACTCTCCCAGATGCAGTCACAGCTCCTGCTGAACGGACACTGCCTGCTCAACACCCTCCCTGCCACATCTCTGACTGTAAATACCACGGAGGCCTCCACAACCCCTGTTTATACATTTCTGTGTTGTTCCTTTTGTATTTTATATGTGTATAAATATTCATTGTTTTATACTGGACTCAGTATGGTGACACAGAGCATTTCAAACACAGGCTGCTTCACATTTCTCCGTGAACTCCTTTTGTAACTGTGTTGTTGGTTGTGTTGTTTTGGATATTCTGTAGTAATAAAGGCTCAAGGACTGAAAGTGAACCGTGTTCCCCAGCTCTGGAGTCAGAGCTGGGATGGGCTGGCCAGGAGCTGGGGCAGGGAGGTGACCCCAGAGGCACCAAAAGGGCTTGAGGATGGTTTTGGCCAAGGTCTGTCCCCTCTGCAACCACCATGTCCAGCTGTGTCAGCAGGTGTGGCAGGGTCCCTGAACTCCTTACACTCCATGCCCAAACTGCCTCAAGCTGCCTCCCGTTTAGGTCATCAGATGCCAAAGGGAGTCCTGTATTTCCTAATTAATCCTCTGACCAATAAAAACCAAGGCCTTTCCTCCTCCCTCTTCTTCATCCTCTGCTTTTCCTGGCCATGCTAAAGATGTACCTGAGGCCTGTGAGTGGGGAGGAAAGAGCCCTGGGAAGGGGATTTGGAAATCTTGGAATGTGCCAGCTTGGTAAGTTTTGGATTACTTCAGTACTGTTTGAGGATGGCCTCTAAGATGAAGCACAGATAAGCTAAAGCTTTATCAGCCTTTGGGATCTCTCCAGCACTCCTTCCCTTCAGATCACAGACTCCTTCTTCAGCAGGATGGCTCTGATTCAGTGTTGATCCTGTGAGTCCTCCCACAGCGGAATGTCAGCTCCAGTTAGAGCCAGTCCCACCAGGAATCTCCCAGTGCTCGGTGTTACCAGCTGAAAGCTGCAGGGCCCCTGTCCCCTGCTGTGTCAGGGGACTGTGGGGACCCTGCTCTGGGACTGGCTCCAGGTGCTCCCAGCCAGGGTGACCCTGTCCTGCCCAGGCCTGGGGACAAGCAGAAGCTGCTCAGGCAGGGACAGAGGGAGCTCTGGCAGTGGGGACAGTTGGCTCTGCTGTGCAGGACAGATGGGGAGGGCTGTGGGCTGCCCTGGACTGTTGTGTGCACGTGGAGTTGGGGGGTTTGGGGCCCTCTCACCCCTCAATGAGTTGCTCTGAAAGTCTGATTTTCCTGCCAGATAAACATTTACCTATCTGAGCCTCAGTTCCTCCAGCCTACCTCGTGACTCCAGCAGCACTACTCCTAAGTTACAGCAGCAAACGCCATCTCAGTTGTAACTTTATGTTCCCAGCAGAACCAAGATGAATTTTGCTGGATGTTACGGGGCTCCCTTTCCCACAAACCCATCCTGGGTTTTGCAGGGTGAGACCCACGCAGAGGCTGCAGCTCCCTGAGTCTGCATTGTGAGAATGACTCCCCCCTCTGGGGTGGGATGGAGGCAGAGAAACGGGAGCTTTTTCCGTGCAGCTCTGGGTAATCCTGGCTGTGCCGGGGCTGAAGTCCCGGTGCCGGCTGCGTGCCGGGAAACGCTGCCGGGGCAGAGTCCCCAGCCCTGCCCGGCCAGGTGGGTGTTTTGCTGACTGGCTCAGTATCGCTCATCCCTTCCAGCCAAGGCGAGTTGCTGGGCGGTTGCGTAAAGCAGAGCTCCCAAATATGTGAGAGCATTCCTGACTCCTTGCCCGGAGCCCACCGGTTCCTTTTGAAGATTGAGATAGGAGCGATGAAGGCGATTTTCACCCCGAGCACCAAAGGTCGTGTGAAAGCACCGAGTGTTTGCACAGGGCTCCCCGGGCCCTGCCTGGTGCTCAGAGCCTCACCAGAGCTGCTCTGGGATATGGCCCTGCCAGAGGGGGTCTGTGCTGAGCACAGGGTGTGTGACAGACCCCAGTGCCCATCCTGGGCCAGCAGCATCTGCCCCCTGCCCTTCTCCCTTGTTCCCACCCTGGCCAGGACTGACTCCCCAGCCTCCAGCACTGGGAGCTCTCAGGAAAACACAGAGGAGCCCAGTGCTTGTTTTAATTACTCAACATCTACAAAACTGGAAGCTTTCAAACCAATTTTAGTTAATGATCATTGTCCAATTCTGAGAACAGAGTAGCACTAATTAGCTGCCCGTGAGCCAGCCCTGGCAGGCCAGCACAGGCCTGCTCGTGGTGTGCAGAGTCTGAGGGAAACCCTGACTCAGGAATGCCACTCTGGCATCCCAGCTGGGGAGGAAGGAAAACTTCCCGAGTGCTCCTGGTGAAAAAGTGCCCACAGAGACAGAGATGCATAAAAAGGAGCAGCAGGCTGAGAGCCGAGTTGTGCAAGAGCTCTGGTATCCCCAGTGCTGGGTGGAGGGCTCTGCTCCTCACTTCTACAAACAACACCCAGTTTCTGTGTCTTTATTCGTGCTTATTCACTGCTTGCATCATCAGGCAGGCAGCTGAGGAGCTCAGTGTGTGGTGTGGCTCTGCAGGGCTGTGAAGGAAAAACAGCATCCTGTGTTTTGTTAGGACACCCACACGCCGTGTCCGGAGGTGCCCTGGTGCTGGGCATGGGAGGAGAGGATTAAAGTCAGGGAAGTCAAACCCTGCCTGCATCTGTTTATAAGTGTCCAAAGCTTTAATAAACCAGCTCTCATTTATTTCCGCAGGTAGCGCCTTGGATTTATAGAATTAAATTTTGGATGAGTTGGGCACTAGAACCCCCAGACGTGTGGGAATGTCCTGGAATCATCAGCTGGAAAGTGGCCACAGAATCAGAGCTCAGTGCTCACAGTCAGGGTGCACAGACCTGGGATTTACCTCAGCGAGCTGAGGGCTGTCCTGGCTGCACTTTTGGCTGGGAGTCCTGGGAATGCTGAGCCCCAGCTCTGAGGCAGCCCAGGCATGAACTGCTGAATAACCAGTCTTTGGTAAAGCTGCTGCTCTGCGTCATCCCCTGAGTGAATTGTGATTTTGCCTCCCTGTGGCTCTGCTCTCTGGGGCATGGCCAGAGCAGCTCTGTGAGTTCATGCACTCGTGCGGCATTGCAGGGCTTCGGATCCATTTGGCATAAAGGACTGATGAAAAGCAGGCTCCTGTCTGCTCTCCCAGCAATTCAAAACCTCCCAGAAGGACCTGGGGATCTTAGAAGGGATTAACAGGGCAAGAAATGAGTGTGATCAACTGAAAAAATCATGTTAGCTGTGCCTGGCAACAACGAGCCAACGGGCACTGAGGGATCCTACAGGATCCCAAGCTCCACCCCGGGATGAGCTCGGCAGGGATCCAGGCAGGGAAGAACTGACCAGAGATGGGTTTGTGGTTGCATCTGCCTCTGTCTTAGCAGTGCTGCTGTAAGGGTCGGCATCCAGCTCTGCAGCTGCCCACTGCTCTGCCAGGGGCTGTGTTTAACCCATTCCTCTCTCAGGTGGGTCCTGCTTCCCCAGGCATTTCCCGATTCCAAGCCACAGGATGTGTTTCTTCTCCCATTTCACTCAGTTTTCTGGTGAAGCCAGAGCAAAGGGGTGCTGGGGGTTCTGATGCTGCTCTGTGCCCCCACCCTGTCCCCTGCAAGTGCTCCCCTCTTCCCATCGAAGAGAGGAATTCTGCAGCTGGAATGTGTTGTACCAATAGTCAGTGATGTGAGTTTTACACACACAGAACTCACAGAACCTGTTTGTCCAAAGCCCTGACAGTCAGTGATGCTTTAATGGCCTTTACACTGCAAACATGCTTTTTTTTTTGTCAACCTTACCTTTAAAAATAATACTGTAAAATATGAACCAGCCAAGCTGGACAAGGAGCTGCTAAGTGAGGACTCCAGAGCTGCTGTGTGGCCCTCAGGGTGATGCTTAATCCTTCTAAGCCTAAATCTTTGGGAAATGAAGAGCTTTGGGAAAGGAGTGCTATGGACAGCCTGTGATGGTTATTGTAAAATGTATGGATTTTCCATGGTCCAGCCTTGCAGAGAGCTGGCTGCTCCCCTCTCCAGGCAGTGCTGGAACAGGACAGGGATGCCCAAGGACCCCAGCTGGGAGTCCCTCCTGCTCTCCCACTGTCTGGGACAGCAGCGCAGCTGGGTGTGGAGTGTTTGTGTGTTTTCTGATAACAGGCTGGGGATCTTCCCTCCTCTCATTTAATTTGCCCTTTCCTCCAGCCCTCTGTCCTTATCAAATCCCTCCTGGCATTGCTTCCCTTCCAGCTTCCTTTTCCCCAAAGCCCTGATAGAAGATCCAGCTGCTGAGAGATGTAGTAAAGATTTCCCTGTTGAGTAAGGAGAGCCCTGGGCTTTCTCATGGGCTCATTCTTTTCCAGGGTCAGGAATTTATTGATGATCTTAATCTCAGGCCTGCAACGTCACTTCATGGTGACAGTAAATGTTTTTGAATGATCTGCTGATAGAATTATTTATCTTCCCATGAGGATCCCAAGGGGTGGGAGGGCTTGGGAGAAGGGAGTTTGTGTTCATGCCTTTTCATCCCTCTGAAGTGGTGGCAGGATGGAATACCTGGGAATGGCAGTTCCGGCTTCCAGGGAGCACTTTTACAAGCCTCTCTCCAGCAGGGGCTGGGGAAATGGCCAGCTTTTATCCCTCAGTTACCTTGGGGGGCTGTGCAGACATGAGTGTCCCTCACCATTCCTGCCCCGGGGTCCCCACATTTGGCTCTTCATCCTCAGTGTTCCTCTGGGGAGAGTTCAGGCACAAAACCAGCCCAGCCTAAAGCCTCTGCTCGGGATATGAGGAATCTTTCCAGGTCAGGTGTGCTTTGGCTTCTTGCTCCATGGATAAGAAGTGGCCCCCACATCCCAGGGTGGTGCAGGTTTAATTACTGTTTGTAAATGTCTGGGAGATCAGCTGATAAAGGGCCCCTGATCCACTGCTCCAGGCTGTTCCCAACCCACACTGCCCTTCCAGGCACTGCCACCTCCCAGCCACTTCCTGGGGACAACAGCCATCCCCTCTGGACCAGGACACAGTGGGACACTCTGGGATCACCCTCCTATGATGGATTTTCATGTATTCCATGGCACTGGGGTGTCTTCCAGGCTGCACTCACCTAGAAGGAGTTTTCTTTGCTTCCCTGGTAGGTTTGTGTGGCTGAGGCTGCAGCCTCTGGAATAAATCTGGAGTAAATTCCTTGTTCCTTGTTAGGTGGGAAGTCCTTGACTGGAAGGAAGATGTTATTCCCTTGGTGAGGAAATCCATGTTGGGATGACCTACAAGACAAACAGGAAAGGGATGTAAATACCAGCCCAGGCACTGAGGAAGGAGAGTGCATCCAGCAGGGAATGTGAGAAAGGACAGAACCGGTGTGACAGGGCCGTGTGGGTAAGCTGCTGCTGGATTGGAAAAGTGCTGGGCAGAGCTGATTTCCAGGGACACTGATAAGGCACCACTGAACTCAGTCCTGAGCTCAGGAACCATTAGCAATTACAGGAAATCAAACAGGAGAGCTCCCAGATAAACTCTGTGCCCTCACCCCAGGTTTCACCCTCAGCAGGCAAAGGGCCAGGAGATCTCTTGGTGCATTATGCACCAATGTGGCTTCTCCTGAAGCCTGTGGCATTTCCAGTGTTGTCAGGTGTTCTGGTTATTCCTTACAGCTACTCCAAAGTCCCAGGGGGGGTTTCTGGATTGTTCTCCCAGCAGAGGCTCAAAGGTACCTCCCCAGAGCTCATGGAAGTGTCCTGTGACGCTTCAGCCCAACATGCCCGAAGAAGCTCCACGGGGGAGCAGAGCCAAGGTCAGCAGCACCATCCTCCCTCCCAGCTCCAGGCTCACAGATGTGGAGAAAGCCATTTCCCAAACTTTTCCAAATTAACTCCTCTTGTGGTTCGGGCCACAAACACTGCCAGGGCAAAAGTGGCATTGCTTTGCTTGCAGAAATGGTGAGTTTCAGAAGGAAAAAGGGCTTGGGGATGCCTTTGAATTGCCTTTACCTGTGGGTGATGACCAACAAAGGCAAACCCACATTTCAAAGCCTGTGAGTGGCTACAGCTGCCAGCAGCACTCACACCAAAATCTGGGAGAGCTTCCCAAGGGTAGGAAGAGCTCTCTGTGACTGCCCAGGACTTGACACTCTGGCAGGAAATGTCTCTGTGTGTGGTTGCTGTGTCCACAATCGTCCATCACCTCCACATGTCCGATTTTGTTCAGGGCTCCAGAATTCCAGGAGAGGGAATTTCAGGAATCTGTGGTGTCAAGAGTTGTGTGAGCTACCCCAAATCACAGAATAGATCACAGTGACATGGGACAAAATCCTTCAGTTGAAGCTTTACCTCCTGCAACCTCCTCTGGGATTTAAACTTTTATTGTTGGCTTTTCTAATGGATGTGATGGGAGGAAACATCTGATGGCCAGGCCTCACTAAGTGATGTGGGAGTGTCCAGTTCAAGCTGGAGAGGAGAGGGGCAAGAAAACCCCTGCATTACAGACTCAAACACAAAAATATAACGCTTTTCCCTTTTTTTTCCCCCTTGTTTCCTATGGCAAACTGGTGAAATGCTGAGATGTTGAACTGCCTTTGTTGTAACACAAGGTTTGGTCCCAGAGCTGAGGATGGCTTTGAGGTCAGTTTGGACACTTTTTCCTTGTTTCTCACCCCTTTTTTCCCCCCTCAGTTTTAATCTGTCACTCAAAAACAGATCCTCCTATGACTACACAAAAGTTCCTTTTTGCTGAGTGAGAGCAGTGACCACGAAACTGCAGGATCTGTCCACCTTTTTCTTTTGAGATATCTCTTTGTCTATAGTCATAAATTATCAGCCACTGCCATCTTTTAAATAGATAGTTTCCTGTTCTGCCTCTTGTAGGTTAGATATTATCTCCCACAGTAAATCATGAGTCAGTGATTAATTCAAGAAGGCCGTTCCCAGAAGCAAATTCTTACAATGTTAAAATTAATACGATGCGGAGCCATTATACCATGATAGAGAAAATAATTATGGCCTGCAAACCAGTTTAATCAACAGAGAGCATGCTGGGGCAGGTGCTCAGCCTGAGTCACTGCAGCCGAGCTCAGAGCCCCAGCGCAGGGGCGGTGTGAGTGAGCAGAGTGTGGCAGCTGAGCCCCGCGACCGCTCCACGCGCTCTCTGCACACCCAAAGCGGGAGGGAAAACACCTCTGCTGATGTACAAACACCACCAAGTGACTATAAAAGCGTGAATTGCTTCAGGAACGTGCGTGCAGCCAGTTAAGGTGTCTCAGCTGATGAGTGGCAGCTTATTAAACTGATTAGGTTGTGTGTTCACTCGGTGTTAAGCGGCTCTGCAAAGTCATCACATATTCTGGAGTCTGCCTCAGCACAGGGCATGGGGCTGCTCCAGGAGCACTCTGAGAGGGGACAACTCACTGGGGAATGGCTCAAAACTGGGGAAAAACTCAAAAACTCCCTCTAGAAATAACAAAACAATCGCAAAGCAATCTGAGCTACAGCAAGATGCCACAAAAGGGACAAAGCAGCCCAGGAGGTGTGTGTATGTTATTATAAACCATCTGATAATGGCTAATGACACTCGGTGTTCTGTTAACAGCTCCCACATCTCAAAACACCCTGAATTCCTGTGGATGAAGGCTTACAACACCCCGTGCAGCCTGGGCACCTGCAGGGCTGGGCAGCAGGCACAGAACAGTTAAGTGACTTGCACAAGGGTGAATCAGCAGGACTTGAGGAACTCAACCTGAAGGTAGGTGCTGAGCTGGAGGAACTGGCACAGCTCTCAGCAGTGCCACCAGGTGTGACCCTGCACCCCCTGAGCCCAGCAGTGCCACCAGCTGTCACCTGCCAGTGCCTTTTTTAGAGTTAGGGTGGCCAGAACCAAACCCACCATTCCAGCAGCACCAGTGCTGGTATTACTGTATTTCCTGTTTTGCTTTCCAAGTCACACAAATTTCATGCTTTAATTTTAACTGTGCATCGAGGTAGGTGCCTTCAGAGTTTCAAAATTTTAATCCTTTAATGCAAGCCTCCTGTTGCATGGAAAGCTGAGTGATTCTGGGGATGAGGAAGATCAAATTTCTCTGCTGTGCACAGGGCAATTTGTATAGACTGGGAGCCACAGTACATCTAAAATCCCACCTGTAACTTCTGAGCTGGGCTTAATTAATGCAGCATGTGGGCAGAATGCTTTATTTGCAGTACCACACCTTTCCTGCCTCCCTTCTTTGCCTGGGCTTTTCAAAAAGAGGACTGGGCAGGATTCTATTTATAGAGCCAAATAAATCCAGCCCTGCCTGTGTTGTACGTGATCCCTCCAGCTTTTCAGATGTGGTCCCAAGAAGGGCTGAATGCCCTTCATGTCCTACTTCTGCCAACCCCAGTGGGAACTGGAAGGTCTGTGACTATAGAAGATAAAAGAAACAGCTTTATACTAACACAAATGTGAAATTATTCCAGTGTGTAGGATGGGAAGAGCTGAAGTTCCTGGTCTTTAGGAACATCGTGTGAACTTCATTAATTGTCTTGTCTGCCAGTTACCAATGGAAAACACTCTGGAGGCGCCTTTGTTCCTGTTCTGGTGACTTGAGAGCTGGATTCTGGCAGTGATCCGATGTCCCCTCCCAGAATGGCACAGGAGGCAGAGAACAGGGGAAGGCCTGGGATTGAAGAATGAGGCAATGGGCAGCTGAGGGGCAAATGAAGCTGCTGGAGCACAATTGCACATACAGACATGAGGATGAAGGGATTTAACTGTGTTTGGCAGGAGCTGGGAAGGAGCCAGCCTCAAAGAGGGGGAATGGAGGAGGCAAGGGCTGATTAAAAACCCCATCCAGATGGAACCTGTGCTTGGCCACAGCAGCAGCAACCCTGGAATGACTCAAAGCCCTGAAAGGAACAACCAGGGATGGCTGGGAGGGGAATGGAGGCTCCTGCTCTGCTTGGCCTTACAAAAGGCTGAGGGGAAGAGTGGCAGGGAGTGGGCAGGCAGTGCTGGCTGCTGCAGAAGGTGCTGATTTACAGTGAGATCATGGGGAACTCCTCCTGCTCCATTTTCTTCCCTCAGCTGAGCTGTTCCTGGTGCATGCACAGACAAGTGGAACCATGCTACTATGGTGCTAAAAATAACAAATCCCAAATACAGGCTATTCTATGAAAGCTGGGAGAGCTTTGCAAGGAATCAGACCCTAAGAAATCAGTCTTCTGGTGGATTCAGCCTTTCCTGTAAAAATGCCCCAAGTTATCCAGCAGCTGAGCACAAATCATCTTTTCCACTTCTTTTTCTTTGTAAGAAAACACTTCAGGAGAAACCAAAATTCGAGGTGTGTGATGCAACTCTGTGAATTTCAGCCGAGCTGCTCTGACTTGGGCTGCTCCAAAATTACGGGAGAATTCTGAAGATGTGGTCTGAGGGTTCATCTGCAGGGATCAGGGATCCTGAGCCAGCTGCTCCTTATCAACAACCAGAACCAGCAGCAGAAGAGAGCCTGCACTGCCCTGGCCACGGGGTCCATCTCCATGTGGCCCTGCCATGTGCTTGAGGTTGTCCAGCCCATGCTCCGTGGCCAGCGGGGTTGTGCTGAGGGAAGCAGGACCTGCCCAATTCTGCTGGAGCTGGTTATTAAAATCGCAGCAGGTTTCCAGAGGAGCTGATAAAAAACTGCATCCGCAAGCTCCTTCTGCCCTGGTGCTGCCAGGCTTGGCTGCTGCTGCCCAGCCTGAAGGGCTGGATGCAATCCCTGCCCAGCAAGAGCAGCTCCTGCTGGGCAGCACGTTCAGGGGAAAGGCTCCGGAGCCCTTCTCTGCTGCTGTGCATCCAGCTGTGGGTTTGGCACATCCATCATCACCCCGGTGCTGCTGGGGGTAACTGGAGATCAGGCACCTCCACAGCCTTGGAGATTCAGCTCCTGCACGCCTCAGAGAGCCGGGAATTGTGTTTGGGTGATGCCAGGGACACCCAGCAGCAGCAGCTCCCAGCCCCAGTGGCTGGGTCCTGCAGGAAGGTGTGCAGGCAGGGGTGAACTGGCAGAGTGACACAAGTGGGTCAAGTCACCTGCTGGGTGTTCTAGGTCAGGCACTGAGAGGCAAATAAGCTCTCTCCACTGCTTAAATTACAAGCGGGTGACTTCCTGTCCTGGCATTTATCCCTGACTCAAGGAATGTGCTCCAGAATGGCTGAGGGGGACACAGCCAAGTCCTTCAGGTGGGGAAAACCCAGTCAGCAGCCCCCAGAAGGTCTGGTGTTGATGGGTACAGTGCCTCCCCTCCTGACCTGCTGCAGGAACTCCTCTCCAGGGATAAAGCCTAGGAGAGAAGCAGCCAAGCCCTTGTGTAGTTTGTGGTTTGGCCTCCTGCCCACCCTGCCCTTCAAGAAGGAAATTCTCAAAGGGAAGGGAGTGCTTTGAGAAGCTCCCTGCAGACTCTGCTCTGCTTTAGTCACAGCTCAGCATCAGGTCAGCTGGCTCTGCTGGAAGCTGACCAGGCAGACTGACGGCGCCTACAGAAAGTCTTTAAGCAACTTCTCCACCTTGATAATTTTTCCCTCATCCTTTTTTTTTTTTTTTTTTTTTGTCCTTTACATCCTTGACTGCTGTTATTCAACCCTGAGATAATGCACTCCTGATATCACTGAGATGGGACAGACAAGCAAGGAGCAAGAGATCAAAGGAAGAAGAAGAAAGAGAAGATGCTAAAGGCAGGAGAAGAAAGACGGGAAGATGACAAACACTTCCTTGATTTACCTACTTTGCATGCCCGGTACCAAGTTTCAGAAATCCTTCCTGTACGTAATTTTGGGAGTTCTGGGGTTTCCACGCAGTCCCCAGACAGCGAGAGGCTGTGGAAGGGCATCCTCCTCCCCCTCAGCTGAGGAAGCAGCTGGGAAGGTGCATCCAGAAAGCCCAGGAGGCCCTTGGCACCTGCGAGTGTTGGCTGGGAAAGCACTGCGGGTTTAACACATCCTTCTGCTTCCCTCTGCTGGTGGAAGGAGGGTGGAATTCCTGAAAATCTGGGATCCGAGAGGGGTCACCCCTGGTGGTGTCCCCGCACAAGGATTAACTGCACCAAGTGCTGGAATGTGCGTCCTGGAGGGCTCAAACACCTGGGACAAACAGGGCCAGGGCTGGTGGGTGGGAGACGGGGAGGTGGCACAGGTGAGATCATCCACCTGGAGCCACTTCCAGCTTAAACCACTCGTGTTGCATTGCCACTTCTCCTTCCGTTATCAGCTGTGATTAAAAAGTTAATTTAATGACCTTGATCTAAACTTGGTTGCTATTCTTGTCACAGAACAGGATCATTATCTGTAGCAAAAAAAACCCTCATAAGCTTCAAACATTTTTGTTACTCACTTGGTTATACTGAAATCCCTTTGATTGAGACTTAAATATCTTTTTTTCCCCCCCAGTTTGAGACCCCTTTCCTGTGGTGCTTATAAGGAAACCTTGAAACGTAAGAAGAGCAGCCAAGGATAACAACACTGAATATGGAGATGGAGGAAACATGTGAACACAACAGCAGCTTTCCTTTGAAATGGGATGTGTAAGAGAAAGGCAAATCCAACACTAATGCAGTATTCCTGCCAGAAAACCAGCAGTCACTCCTGCATTTCATTTCCCCAGCTTATTTAAAAATACCCTTGGAAGCACTGCTTTTGATCAATGTTTTCTTTGACTGCATTTCTTATTCCCTTGTGCTGGTTTATCCCCAAGAGGAGGAATTTTGGGCCTGGAACTCCTCTAACCCACTGTGGCTATAAACCGTTCCAGATACCCCTTGATTTGCTCCAGTAACAAACCCTGGCTGTGCTTTGAGTGAAAAACCTTGGCGTGGTTGAGGTTTTCCCCCTTCAGCTCCGCACTCACTGCGGTAAGTACAGTTTATTTTCAGGACATGGCACCGAGTTGGGCTGTTCTGCCAGAGGTACCTCGTGCTCCACAGCATCCCTGAGCTGGAAAGGCGGGGATCGGTCACAGACTCGTCCAGTGTCACGACTTAGGGCACAGCCGGGATTTTGTTTCTGCTCTGAAAGTGCAGGAGGGCCGAGGCTCCAGAGCTCAGCCATGGCCTTTGCTGTCTCCATTGCGAGAACTCGGCGCTCGGGGCGGGAGGAGCCCAAGTGAGGGATGAGGTGAGGGATGAGGTGACGCCCTCAGGTGAGGCCCCGGAGGTGCCACCGGAAATCGCCTCACGCCGCAGCCGTGCCCAGGTGAGGCAGCGCTGGGAACGGCGGGTGGGTACCTGAGCGGCTGAGAAGCACCGGGGACATGCCCGACCCCGCTCAGGGGCGGTGTGCGCTCTGTATCCGCCCGTTCCTGCCGGTCCGTGCCCGTTCCAGCCGGTGCCTCCCCGGCCCTCGGCGGCACCGGGAATGCGGACACCCGGTGGCCGAGACAACAGCCGCCTCAGCGCTCCTCCAATCACCGTGCCTGTTACTCTGAGCGCTGCGGCAGGCGCCCAATCACAGAGGAGCTCTCTGCGCCAACGCGGCTGGTTTAAGGTGGCTCGGTGGAGGCTCTTCACGCATGCGCCTTAAGGCGGCTCCGGCTGCTGTTCGCGCCACCGGGAGGGCGGAACGGGTCCCACCGGGGCAAACCGGGGAAAAGCGCGGGGCCGCGGCTGTCCCTGCAGCCGTGGGCCGGAGCCCGCGGGACCACCTCGTCCCGCCCCAACCGAGCGACGGAACGCGACTTCTTCCGCCCGGCCCCTGATAGCCCTGCGCCCATAGGCTGGCACAGACCCCGCCTCCACGCGACAGCCAATCCTCACCCCCACCTTTGCGCCGGCCTTTGATTGACAGCGCTGGGGACCAATCGGGTGCACCGGGCAGGAAGCGGTCGCGGCGCTCGCCCGGCAGCCGGAGCGGGAGGCCGGGGCCGGTGAGTGGCGGGGAGCCCCGAGGGGCGCGGAGGGACGGGCACGGAGGGACGGGCACGGGGCCGCAGCACCGGCGGGTTTGGTGGGAGCCCCCCGCGCCCCGGCCCGGGGGTGTGCGGGCGCTCCGCCTGCCCGGGGTGGGTGCAGCACGGGCGGTGTGCGCGGCTCGGGCCGGGGATGCTGAGCGAGCCCTGGACGGTCCCGGCCGGGATCCGCTCCGGGCAGGGCCGATGCTGCTGCCCGGGGCGCTACGCGGAGCTCGTGTGGGGCTCTCCGGACGCCTCCAGCCCGCTGGGCTCCGGGGAATTGCGGCTCTGGGCAGTGCAGGCTGCGGGAGGAGCTCTGCTCCTGGGGATGTGCTGGTCCCGGGCGAACTGGAGCTTCAGGGAGGAGCGACGTGAAAAGCAGAGCTTGGAGGATTGAGAGCCTTTGTGATGCTGTTAAATGCCAGCTGAGTGCGTCACCCCTGGGGGCCAGCCAGTTCACAAGAGCTTGTAAAGCAAAGCCTCTGCGAGTTTTTGTCCAAGGCTTTCTAAGAAGATATTTAAAATCTGCTTTTCTTTTTGATGTGCTGCTCTGAGTTTGATTCCACAGGCGTTTCTGTGGCCTATCCTTCATTGCAGGTTTTGGACCACTGATTTTTTTTTTATCTAATTATTTGGATTTTATTTCTTTTTTTCCCCCTTAGATTCATCTTGAAGGAACATAACCTTGCTGCTTCACTGACTGGCTGGAAACAGTGGCTGATCTAAAGGGAAGCAGCAGGCCTCATTTGTACTTCCCTGAACTTGCCCAAGGGAACAGGATGGATGGCAGGGAGCGGTACCAAACGTTGGTTCCAGCAGGGTCCAAGTCTCTTCTTTAAAGAGAACTTCCAGCATCAAGAAAGCTGAAAAGCAAAGGAAAAATCCCAAAATGGAAGGAGGAAACAGCCCCAGCCTGCAGCTCCAGCAGCTCCCGCTGGCCACAGCAGCAGTTTCTGTGCAGCCACACACAGACTCCTTCTCCTACAAGGTCAGCTGCTACCCCAGCAGGGAGGTTTCCATCCCCAGAAGGCCCTGATGGCACAAATGAGATGATAATGATGCTGCTTTGGGGTTATTTTCTGCAGGAAGGGCTCAGGGAAGGGGTTTAGTCACTCCTGGGGTGTCATATCCTGTGCTTAGTGAGAGAGAAATTCTGTGCCAGCAGAGCAGAGGAGCTGGAGGAAGGTGTGGCCGTGGAGGTGTTTGGGTGCCCTGATTCCCACAGGTGCCTTTTCAGCCTCAGCCATGCAGCAGTGACAGAGCAGAGGTTCTGCTTTGCTCTGTGTGTTTGGGTGTTTCAATTTCAGGGGGTGAGCCCACAGCAGAGGCTGCAGCTGCCTGGGATGTGGGGCTGTAATTCCTCCTTGTTCTCCAGGTGGGGGCAAATAAATTCCCTCTGGATCCCTGATTTCTGCTCAGGAAATCTCAGCAAAAAGGGGTTTTTATTTCCTTTGTAATCACAGTCCTGGGCCCTTGTGGAAGTTGACCCTGTGGCTTGTCACAGCCCAGAGAACTCTGCACTGTGGTCACACAGTGACATCCTCCTGCCACCCTGGGAACCTCTCAGGTGGTTTTGAGTGAAGCTGTTTGGGTGAATCTTTTTTTTTTTTTTTTTTTGTGCATTCTGATGAAGGTGTTTTTGTTCTGCTGCTAAGAATTTGAAATCTGGAAGTTCTTCTGTATATGAGAAAATCAAGATTAGTCCATTTATTCCTATTCACTTCTGAATGTGAGCTGGGTTGTCCCAAATCAATCCAAGTAAGGAGTGGACTGAGAGAACAGTGCTAATGACATTTAATGAGATTTAGGCAGTTTTGGGAGCACACAAATGTTCAGTGGCCTCAGGCTGTTCTCTTCAGTCCTCCTGTGCACCTCCTTTGTGACTCAGCCTGCTTTACATCCTTTCTTGATTTCAAATTCCATCTTTAGAGCGTGAGAATTGTTGCTGGGCTTTGAATGCCAGTGCAGAAGAGGTTGGGAGCTGTCAGCAGTCTCCTGTGACTTTGAGAATAACTGGTTTATACAAAAAGCAGATTAAAATCTGTGATAATTGGGCTGCCTCATCACATGGGCTGAATCAGTGACTGAACCAGCAGCTGCCTCAAGTGGAGAAGAGCAAAGTAGTTGGGAAGCAGAGATTCCTGATCCATTCTCTGTCAAATTCCAGGGCAATAAAATCCTCATAAATATATTGTTCAGAGGGAAGAAGAGTGATGGTGTAGGGCTTTTTTAGCCTTATCTTTTCCTCCTCTCTGAGAAACTGCAAACTAATTGAAGTCTCTTGGAGAAAGTGGCTGTTGAGTCTTATCTTCCAGCTGAGGTCACAGGTCTGGAGCACAGCCAGAGCACTTATGTGAGCTGCCCCAGATCAGCAGGAAGGGAGGAAGATAAATAGGTTTTATTGACAGCTGGGTGTTGGACCAGATGACCTTTAAAGGTCCCTTCCAACCCAGGCTGTTCCATGTTTCAGGAGTGGTTTAAAAGTCTGCTCTCCTCCAGAGTGTGCAAACCCCTCTGGGTTCCTTGACTAAATTTAATAATTGTGTGTTCCCTTTGTTTCTGCAGGAGAACTTGATTGGGGCACTTCTGGCTATTTTTGGGCATCTTGTCAGCAGCATTGCCCTCAACCTCCAGGTGAGTTCCCTGAAGCAAACACTCATCCTGCATTGAAGTAAACACTCAAAGGTGACAAAGCTGCTTTCTTTCTGTTTTCTTGCCTAGAAATACAGCCACATCAGGCTGGCAGGCTCCAAAGACCCCCGGGCCTACTTCAGAACCAAGACCTGGTGGAGTGGATTCTTGCTGCTGGTGCTGGGAGAACTGGGAGTGTTCTCCTCCTATGCCTTTGCTCCTCTCTCACTGATTGTGCCCCTCAGTGCAGTATCTGTTGTGGGTAAGCAGGAAGGAGCCTGAGTGTCCCAGTGGGAAATTCCTGACTCCAGAATTCACTGTTTCTTTCTCCTTTTTTTTTTTTTTTTTCCCCATAGCTAGTGCAATCATAGGAATTATATTTATTAAAGAAAAATGGAAGCCCAAGGAATTTTTGAGTAAGTTCCAGTTTCTTTTCATTTTTCCTCTGTGTTTACAACTCATCACACACAGCATGAGCCCTCAGGAATTATAATTACAGGGATGGCAAGGTCTCATTAGCACCTCTTGGACAAAATGTGTCATCTCATCCATTGTTTATTAAAAACAATGTATTTTTTCCTGGCTTGAGCCAAATCCCCTGAACCTCACAGAATTTAGAAACAGGCTGAAGGTGCAGCACAGGCACAAGGGAATGAATTCCATGAACATGGAGGTGTTTGCAGAAGTGGGGAAAGGGCTGTGGGCAGGATCACAGATCTTGTAGCTTTATGTATTCAGCAGATGCCACCTAGTACCAACTTTGTCTCAGCTCCCACACCCTCAGTGCCCGTGGTGGCTGGCAGGAAGGGCACCCAGAGGAACATCCACATGTCAGTGATGGTCCTGAGGGATTAATTCATTAATTCCATGCATCCCCCTCCCTCATTAACGCTGTCCTCTCCTGTTCCTGTGCCTGCCCAAGGGCGCTACGTGCTGTCCTTCGTCGGCTGTGGCCTGGCAGTTGTTGGCACTTATCTGCTGGTGACATTTGGACCCAACAGCCACGAGAAGATGACAGCAGAAAACATCACCAGGCATTTAGTGAGCTGGCCATTCCTGCTCTACATGGTGAGGGGCCATGGAGGGTGGGGGGTTTTCTCCTGGGGACACTTCCATTTCCAGCATTATGTTTCCTTCAGAGTTCCCTGTGTTCACTCATTAACCTGGGACAGCTTTTCCAGGTGTCAGACACATGCACAGCTCCTTTTGTTTCCCTGAATTCTGTAGGATTAAATGGCTTTGACTGAAAATTTACTGGTGCCTGAATCTGGGCTTTTTCCACACTGACTTTCTCTGGGCCTACCGATCTCTTACTGAAAATCCCATGAAATTTGTGTTTTAATGAAGATAATCTTGGCCATTGCCCCAGGGACCACTTGTGGAAGCTCACTGCAGAAAACAGACTGAGATCTCTCCTGTGAAAATTCAGTCAGGACTATTTGATCAGCTGCTTTACCACAAATCCAATACCAAAAGTGCCCCATGTTTCCTGTTCTTCAAGAAGCTGCTGAATATCTCAAACTGGAACCTGAGATGATGCTGAAATTGGCCTATAACTGTGTGGGATCCCCATTTCCCTCTAATTTGCCCTATTCTAATGTTTGATTGGCTCAGAATCTCATTTACTGCCAACCCCATGTGCTCTGCATCTCTAATATTCTCATTTCTCTCCTTTGTAGCTTGTGGAGATCATTGTGTTCTGTCTGCTCCTGTATTTTTACAAGGAGAGAAATGCAAACTACATTGTCATTATTCTCCTGCTGGTGGCTTTGCTGGGTAAGTTGATATGGACTTGTAAGATCCTTAAAGAGTAAACTGAGGCATGCAGGGGATTATATTGATATAATTAATGTCATGAAATGCACTCATTTCCTTCAGAAATGTTCATGAAGCTGATCTTTAGGATCTTTGCA